GCAGGGGTTGGGGGGGCTCTGGAATTCTCAGCTTGCCTGCCCCTACCCCGGCCCTGACTTGTCAGCTCCCGGCAGCAGCCACTCTTGATGGATTTTCCAGAAAATGGGGTGTGGCCACACGTCTTGAGACTTTTACTTCTTTCCTTCCTCCCGAGGCCTGAGTGGTAGCTGCTCCTGTGCCTGGGGGCAGGTACCCAAGCCTTTGCCCCCTCCCCAGGGCAGCATCACAGCTGTGTCCCTTCCTTGAGGCCTGGCTGTGCTCACCGTGACCTCTCCAGCACCCCTCACTCCCCATTCTCCAGGCTGCCATTCCTCAGGACCCACAGCCTCATTTCTCCCTGAAGCTTAGCTTTTGCTGTTGTGGCAGCCACCTGGAAGTCCCTCCTCAGGTCTAACTGCCGTTCTTCATGGCTCAATGTCCCCTCGGGTGTGGTGCTTGGCCAGTGGGTGGGAGTCTGACTGCTTCACTCAGCCTGGGGAATGGCCTGTAGCTGGTCTCCCAGCCACCAGCCTATCCCACCCCACAGAGGGGATGGTGTGGACGGCCTAGCAGTGCCTCTGTGGCCCACCCATCCTTACGTGCAGTGAGAAGCATCTTGGCCTGTGCTGGGAGAGATGTGTCCTGACTCTGGTGTAGAGGAGAGGGTGGCAGAGAAGCTGGGTTCAGTTAGGGAGTAAAGAGGTGACCCTGGCAAAGGGGCTATTCCCTGTGACCCCAGCCCCCAGAGCCTCTTTCCTCCTGGAGCCTAGGGTACTGCATAGGCTCTCTGAATGTCCATATCCCCTGGGGGAAGGGAACTGCACCGTAAGCATGTCCCCCCATCCACAGATGGAATGAGAGGCTCAGGGAGCCAGGTGCCCAGCATCTCATCTGTCTGGGCACCTGGCTTGGGCGAGGGCCTGGCTCCACTGACAGTGGCTGGTGCTGCTTCCCGGAGTGGAGAAGTCCTCAGCTGCTCAGTCCCCCTCAGCTGGGGTGGCCCCTGGTCCTTTTCTTTGTTGGTTCCCCTCTGAAGCCCCTGCCCTGGCCCCTGGCCCCACCAGGCAGCCTGTGTGTGTGTGTCTCCGGTGCCAGGCAGGCCATATGTGCGTCTCTCCCACACCGAGCAGCCTGGCTGTGTGTGTGTGCGTCTCCCGTGCTGGGCAGGCTGCTGTGGGAACTCCCATAGGAGGAGCAGGGCTGGAGGCTGGCAGGGGCTGGGCTGGTGCTGAGTGATGGAGGCCACCCTGCCTTGGGCCTGGCTACCAGGTCGTATTGCTGGAAGAGCAGATCTAGGTGGAGGCGCCTGCTCGGTCACATGGGGGGAGGGTGACACCTGGGGAAGTAGAGGTCCATGGTAGGAGGCTTGGACTTGGGGGGCCTGGGGAGGGAGCCACAGTCCCTGTGCGAGGAGCACTGCTGGGAGTACGTGGGACCAGGAGGGGCTCCCAGGATGAGCAGCATGGTGACCCTGGAGGTGCTTGAGGCCAAGGGGATGTGGAGTTCTTGGTTTGCCCTGCTCTCTGGCGTCTCACGACCATCTCACCAGCACCAGGACCTCGTTTATAACATAAGCTCTGAAAAGAGAAACATGCTACCTTGTGGTTTCTGTTGCTTTTTTCCGATTATTACTGACATCGAATGTCTTTTCCAGGCTTATGACAAATTGTGCTGCTTTTCTTAATTGCCTCTTTCTTGTTTTGGAGTTTCTTTTCTTTCTTTTCTTCTTTCCCTCCCTCCGTCCCTTCTTTCCTTCCTTTTGTTAATTGCCTGTTTCTGTTTTTGGAGTTTCTTTTCATTTCTTTCTTTCTTTTTTTCTTTTGGGTTGGAGTTTCACTCTTATTGCCCAGGCAGGAGTGCAATAGTGCTGTCTTGGCTCATTGTAACCTCTGCCTCCTGGATTCAAGTGATTCTCCTACCTCAGCTTCTTGAGTAGCTGGGATGTCCAGCTAATTTTGAATTTTTATAAAATTGGCCAGTGGGTGGGAGTCTGGCTCTATGTGGGGAGCTGTGGACGGGATTTTGTATTTTTACAGATTAGCTGGGCAGCGTTTCTCCATGCTGGTCAGGCTGGTCTCAAACTCCTTTCTTTTTCTTTTTTTTTTTTTTTTTTTTTGAGAGAGAGTCTCACTGTTGCCCAGGCTGGAGTGCAGTGGTGTTATCTCAGCTCACTGCAACCTACACTTTCTGGGTTCAAGCATTTTCTCCTGCCTCAGCCTCCAGAGTAGCTGGGATTACAGGCCCATGCCATCACGCCCCAGCTAATTTTTGTACTTTTGCTAGAAACCGGATTTCACCATTTCGCTAGTCTTGAACTCCTGACCTTAAGTGATCCACCAGTCTTGGCCTTCCAAAGTGTTGTGATTATCACGACATGAGCCACCACGCCCGGCCTGGTCTCAAACTCCTAACTTCAGGTGATCTGCCTACCTTGGCCTCCCAAAGTACTGGGATTACAGGCATGAGCCACTGCACCCGGCTTCTTTCTTTTTCTTTCCTTTTTTTTTTTTTTTTTTTCGAGACAGAGTCTCGCTCCATCGCCCAGGCTAGAGTGCAGTGGTGTGATCTCAGCTCACTGCAACTTCCACCTCCCTGGTTCAAGCAATTCGCCTGTCTTAGCCTCCCAAGTAACTGGGACTACAGGAGCCCGCCACCATGCCCGGCTCATTTTTTTGTGTTTTTAATAGAGACAGGGTTTCACCATGGTGGCCAGGAGGGTCTCGATCTTTTGACCTCATAATCCCTGTCTTGGCCTCCCAAAGTCCTGGGATTACAGGTGTCAACCACCTTGCCTGGCCTTCCTTTCTTCCTTTTCTTTGTTTTCTTTTCTTTCTCTTCTTCTTTCTTTTCTTTCAAGACCAGGTCTCACTCTTTTGCCCAGGCTGGAGTGCAGTGACTCAGTCATAGCTCACTGCAGGCTCGACCTCCCAGGCTCACCCCACCGAGTAGTTGGAACTACAGTTGCACACCACCATGACTGGCTAATTCTTTTCTTCCTTGTAGAGGTGAGGTCTTGCTATGCTGCCCAGCCTGGTCTCAAACTCCTGGCCTCAAGCAGTCCTCCCTGCTCTGCCTCCCAAAGCACTGGGATTGCAAGGATAAGCCACCATACCCATATTCCCTTTTTTCTTTTTAACTAGAATAGTTTCCTTTTTTTTTTTTTTTTTTTTTAAATTAGCTGTGCATGTAGCAAGGGTATTTTTGGCCTGTAATACGTCATCTAAGTTGTTGGTGCTTATCTCATCTTGTTATTTGTTTGCCAGTTTTACTTATATTTTGTGTGGAAGCTGTGTATTTTAGATGGAATTAGATTTGCTTGTCTTTGATGTTTTATTTATTTATTAGGTATGTATTTATTTACTTTTGAGGCAGGGTCTTGGTCTGTCACCGAGGCTGGAGTGCAGTGATGTGATCTCAGCTCACTGTAGCCTCATCCTCTCTGGGACTCAAGTGAATTTCTCGCCTCCACCTCCTGAGTACTTGGGACTACAGGCACATGCCACCATGCCCCGCTAATATATATTTTTTGTAGATACAGGGTTTCACTGTGGCCCAGGGTGTTTTTGAAATCCTGGGTTCAAGCGATCCTCCAGTCTCAGCTCCCACAGTGCTGGGTTACAGATGCACCTGTACCTGGCCATCTGGGATGTCCCGTTTCTCCTGGGTTTATACCTGAAGACAGCGCCTGCTCTCCTGCTCCCTGGTAGCCTGGTAGTGAGCTTGCTTCTCACACAGTCATGCCTGGCTGTGGCCTCACAGTGGGACCACCCTGCTGGGCTCAGAGCTGGAAATGGGGAGCCTGGGCTCTGTGTGAGAGCTGTGGACAGGGTATGGGAGGCCTTGGTTTTGTGGGGGGCCTGTAGACAGGTGATGGGAGGCCTTGGCTTTGGCAGGGGCTGTAGGCAGGGAATGGAGTGCCTTTCGGGGGGGGCTGCGGGCAGGGAATGGGGGGCCTTGGCTGTATGGGGTGACTGGACAGGGGATGGGGGGCTTGGCCCTATGGGGGGGCATGGACAGGCGATAGGTGGCCTTGGCTCTGTGGGGTGACTGTGGACAGGAGATGTGGGGCCTTGGCTCTGTGGGGTGACTGGACAGAGGATGGGGGCTTGGCTTTATGGGGTGACTGTGGACAGGGGATGGGGCCTTGGCTCTATGGGGGGGCTATGGACGGGCAATAGGGGCCTTGGCTCTATGAGGGGCACTATGGACAGGTGATAGGGGGCCTTGGCTCTATGGAGTGATTGTGGACAAGGGATGGGGGGCTTGGCTCTATAGAGTGACTGTGGACAGGGGATGGGGGACCTTGGCTTTGTTGAGGGCTGTGACGGGGGTGATGGGGTCCTCTGCTCTGAGGATGGGACTGTGGACAGGGAATCGGAGGGCCTTGGCCCTTTGTGGATGGGTTGGGAGTCTTTGCCCGTCCTGGCCCTGAGTGGACAGGTCCGTGTGGCACTCGGCCTAGGGCTAATATGGTTACAGAGAGCTGAGGCCCCCGGGCCTCTCCTGCTTGGTTTCCCTAGATGAGTGTTCATTTGGGTCTTCCATTAGAAAGGCTCTTCCTGCGCCGGGCGCGGTGGCTCAAGCCTGTAATCCCAGCACTTTGGGAGGCCGAGGCGGGTGGATCACGAGGTCGAGAGATCGAGACCATCCTGGTCAACATGGTGAAACCCCGTCTCTACTAAAAATACAAAAATTAGCTGGGCATGGTGGCGCGTGCCTGTAATCCCAGCTACTCAGGAGGCTGAGGCAGGAGAATTGCTTGAACCCAGGGGGCGGAGGTTGCGGTGAGCCGAGATCGTGCCATTGCACTCCAGCCTGGGTAACAAGAGCGAAACCCCGTCTCAAAAAAAAAAAAAAAAAAAGAAAAAGAAAAAGAAAGGCTCTTCCTGACTCCTCAGGGGGGAGCTCAAGGGTGGGAGGCCACAGCTCGGGGGTGCTGGCAGTGTCTAGGGTGGGCCCAGGGATGGCCTCCTGGCCTACTGGGAGCTCTGGCCTTGACCCATGGTCACTTGTTCCTTAGAGACGTGTCCCACAACCTGCTTCAGGCGCTGGACGTCGGGCTCCTGACGAACCTCTCGGCGCTGGCAGAGCTGTGAGTGTCCCCCGGCCACGCCAGCATGCGGGGCTCACTCCCGATGGGCTGGCCACCTCTCACTGCTTGGCTGCAGGGACTTCCTTCATACTTGCCGAATCCCCCCTCTCTTCCAGGGACATAAGCAACAACAAGATTTCCACGTTAGAAGAAGGACTGTTTGCTAATTTATTTAATTTAAGTGAAATGTAAGTTGTGGTTCTTTTGGTGGGTGTCACCGGTTGGACCCCAGGCCCCCAGCATCCCTTCTGCCTTCCCAGTTGGTCTGTATCTCCTCTCAGGTTTGAGACCAGATCCTGGGGGCAGTTTGCTGGCCAGCTTGGAGCCCCCCAGGGCCGGCTTGGTTGGGGCGGGGGAGGCTGTGCTGTCACGGGGTGCTCCAGGCCCTGGGGCTGGTGTATACCCTTCCCACCAGACCTGGTCCCCACACTTGCCTTTCCCCTGCAGAAACCTGAGTGGGAACCCGTTTGAGTGTGACTGTGGCCTGGTGTGGCTGTCACGGTGGGTGAAGGAGCAGCAGGTGCAGGTGGTGCAGCCCGAGGCGGCCACGTGCGCTGGACCTGTCTCTCGGGCTGGCCAGCCTCTGCTCAGCATCCCTTTGCGGGACAGTGGCTGTGGTGAGTGCCAGTGGGTGGGGCCGGCTCAGTCCTTCCCTGCCAGGCACAGGGGAACCATCTCTAGGGAGGGGCTTCGGGCCAAGGAGCAGCATGGGAGCCCTGATGGGGGGTGTGGGTGGAGCCAGGAGGAGTGGAACCCAGGGTCCAGCGGCTGCCTCTTCTAGGTGAGGAGTATGTCGCCTGCTTCCCTGACAACAGCTCGGGCACCATGGAAGCAGTGGCCTTTTCACCTGCCCACGAGGGCCTGCTGGAGCCTGAGGCCTGCAGCGCCTTCTGCTTCTCTACTGGCCAGCACCTTGCAGCCCTTTCAGAGCAGGGCCAGTGCCTGTGCGGAGCGGCATCCCCCAATGTCTCCTCTGCCTGCCTGGCTCTCTGCTCCAGTCCTCTGCCACCCCCTGCCCCTTCCTGTGGGGGCCCCACCCTCCTCCAGCATGTCTTCCCCGCCTCCTCAGGGGCTGCCCTGGTGGGGCCCCATGGACCCCTGGCCTCTGGCCAGCCAGCAGCCTTCCACATTGCCGCCCCCCTCCCCATCACTGCCACACACTGGGACTTCGGGGATGGCTCCCCCAAGGTGGATGGTGCAGGCCCGGTGGCCTTGCACCGCTACGTGCTGCCTGGGCGCTATCGCGTGACAGCTCTGCTGGCCCTGGGGGCCGGCTCAGCCCTGCTGGAGACAAACGTGCAGGTGGAAGCAGTACCTGCCGCCCTGGAGCTTGTGTGCCCATCCTCAGTGCAGAGTGACGAGAGCCTCCAACTCAGCCTCCGGAACCGTGGTGGCTCAGGCCTGGAAGCCACCTACAGCATCGTGGCCTTGGGTGAGGAGCCTACCCGAGGTGAGCACCTCCTCCCATCTCCCCTTCCTCCCCAGGGCCGTGTGGGTGGGGCAGAGCCTGGTATCCCTGTCTCGGGCCCACATTGACCGTTGACACCCCTATTCCCCACGGTCCCCAGTGGTGCACCCGCTCTGTCCCTTGGACACAAAGATCTTCCCTGGCAATGGGCACTGCTACCGCCTGGTGGTGGAGAAGGCGGCCTGGCTGCAGGCACAGGAGCAGTGCCGGGCCTGGGCCGGGGCCGCCCTGGCCATGGTGGACAGTCCTGCTGTGCAGCGATTCCTGGTCTCCCAGGTCACCAGGTGCCTGCCCCCACTCATCAAGGGGACATAGGTTGAGGGATCTCTCAAGCACTGGTGCAGAGCCCATAGCTGGGGAGGCTCAGGACGAGGGAGGCGGGAGCTGAGCCGGCCACCTGTCAGTTCTGCAGATGGAGAGGTGGACACGAGCTGGGGGCAGCCTCTGGACACTCCTGGGGCTTGCCATACGGGAGGTGTCCTGCATGGGGAACCCTGTTGGTTCCCACAGGCCCAATGGGTGCTTGCAGCTCTCCAGGCTCTGAGCCTCAGTTTCCCCATCTGGAAAGGGAGACCATGTTGGGGCACACAAGTGGGCTACTGAGAGTGTGGGAGGTTGGAGGAGTGCCCTAAGCCCTGTGCCGTCCCACACCTGCCCACAGGAGCCTGGACGTGTGGATTGGTTTCTCGGCTGTGCAGGGGGCGGAGGTGGGCCCAGCACCGCAGGGCGAGGCCTTCAGCCTGGAGAGCTGCCAGAACTGGCTGCCTGGGGAGCCACACCCAGCTACCGCCGAGCACTGCGTCCGGCTGGGGCCCACTGGATGGTGCAACACCGACCTTTGCTCAGCGCCGCACAGCTACGTCTGTGAGCTGCGGCCCGGAGGTGTGTGGGGCCCAGGTGGGGGCCTGAGACACTGGCTGTGGTTAGGGGTCTGCCAAGTGCCCTCGGTGGAGCCTGAGCTTCGATGGAAGGGCTGGTCGGGGGCTGGTGGGCGGCTCGGTCCCCAGTCTGTTCGCCCTGGATGTCCTGGTGTCCTGGGCCCGGACCCAGAGCCTCACTGCACACTCGCCACCCCAGGCCCAGTGCAGGATGCCGAGAACTTCCTCGTGGGAGCGCCCAGTGGGGACCTGCAGGGACCCCTGATACCTCTGGTGCAACAGGATGGCCTCTCGGCCCCGCGTCAGCCTGTGGAGGTAGCTGGCCCTCCGAATTCTGGAACCTACCCTTCTGCCCCGGAGACCTTGCCAGCCCTGCTTACTGTGGGTCTCTCTCAAAACCTCTGGGGCTTTAACGTTGCTTGTGCCCAGTATAGATGGGTTGGAAAATCTCGAGCGCAGAGAGGAAAGCATTTAATCACATGATTCTGGCAAATGCCAGACTCCCCAGGCCTATTTCTGAGTGTGAGTTATTCCTAAAAGCCAGGTCAAGCAGTTTCCACCCTAGTCTTCCTCTCGAGCAACAGGAACCAGGCTTGCAGGGGGTTCAATGGCTCGCTCCCTTCCCTCCTGTTTTCCTCGGGGAGTTAAGGTGAGGGAGTCTGGACTTTGGCCTGGGGTGTGGTTTGTGGAGCTGAGGTGACCCCTGCCCACCAGGTCATGGTATTCCCGATCCTGAGTCTTAGCCAAGAAGCCTTCCTCACCACAGCAGAATTTGGGACCCAGGAGCTCCTGCAGCCTGCCCAGCTGCGCCTGCAGGTGTACCGGCCCCTCAGCACAGCAGGTGGGACTCGAGTGGTGGGCCTTGAGGGCTTGGGGTGGCCTCTCCGAGCTCTCACATCTGCTGGTCCTGTGGCCACCAGAGCCGTCCCTAGTCTCAGTAGGGGTTCAGAGGTACCAGCTCATTCCAAGTATCTGGGGATGGATTGGGTGGGTCAGTTGGCTGGCCGGAGGCAAGGGCACAGCACTGGGCTGGGAGTGCTGCCCTGTGAGACCTGTTCTCACAGCAAGGCCAGGCTTGTGGGTGCAAGCAGGTGGACATCCCCAGTGATGGATGACCTGTGGGCAAATTAGGACCCCGATACCTTCCCCTCCTCGCAGGGACCCCGGAGAACGGCAGTGAGCCTGAGAGTGGGTTCCTGGATAACAGGACCCAGCCGGCCCCCGAGTGCATGCCAGGGGGACGCTGGTGCCCTGGAGCCAACGTCTGCCTGCCGCTGGATGCCTCCTGCCACTCCCAGGCCTGTACCAACAGCTGCACGTCAGGGCCAGTGCTCCCCAAGGCCCACTACACGCTATGGAGGGAGTTCCTCTTCTCCGTTCCCGCGGGGCCCCCCGCACAGTACTCGGTGTGTGGCTCTGACCTGGATCTATCCCCTGACTTCCTCAGGTCACCTGCCTGTGCACCAGACACACCCAGCCTGCAGTCCCCTCCCATGTCCCTGCCACCTCCGACCTCCAAACTCCAACGACCTCTGTAGTGCCCTGGCCGCTCTCCTAATGGGAGAAGCTCTTGCCTGGGCCCTTGGCATGAGCTGTGCCTCCTCTTCCCCTCTCCGGGCACGGTCGTTCCCTCTTGCCTGCTGGGTCTTGGCCTGTGTCCCCTCCCTGTGTGTCCTCATCTGCAACTGTCCTCTGACTGTCCCTGCTGTGATTACCTTGGGGGAGGCTCCATGAGGCGTGGTCGATGGTGCTGAGATCCCCAGCGTGGAGCCCTGCCTGTCCACCTTCCCCCTCGCGTTGGGGTCCATGGGCCATGACCATGAGGACGTGCTGCAGCCCTGCCTCCCTCTCCGCAGGTCACCCTCCGTGGCCAGGAGGTCCTCATGCTCCCCGGTGACCTCGTGAGCTTGCAGCACGACGCTGGCCCTGGTGCCTTCCTGCACTGCCCACTGGCTTCCAGCAGCCCTGGTCTCCAAGCCCCGTACCTCTCTGCCAACGCCTCGGCCTGGCTGCCCCACCTGCCCGCCCAACTGGAGGGCACTCGGGCCTGCCCTGCCTGTGCCCTGCGGCTGCTTGCGGCCACAGAGCGGTTCATTGTGCTGCTGGGCCTCAGGCCGAACCCTGGGCTGCAGCTGCCCGGGCGCTATGAGGTCCGGGCTGAGGTGGGCAATGGCGTGTCCAGGCACAGCCTGTCCTGCAGCTTCAACGTGGTCTCCCCAGTGGCTGGGCTGCGGGTCATCGCCCCTGCCCCGCACAATGGCCACCTCTACGTGCCCACCAATGGCTCAGTCTTGGTGCTCCAGCTGGACTCTGGTGCCAACGCCACGGCTATGGCTCGCTGGGCTGGGGGCAATGTCAGCGCCCGCTTTGAGGCCGCCTGCCCTGCCCTGGTAGCCACCCTCGTGCCCGGCTGCCCCTGGGAGACCAATGATACCCTGTTCTCAGTGATAGCGCTGCCCTGGCTGAGTGAGGGGGAGCATGTGGTGGAAGTCGTTGCGGAAAACAGCGCCAGCCGGGCCAATCTCAGCTTGCAGGTGACAGCGGAGGAGCCCATCTGTGGCCTCCGAGCTACGCCCAGCCCTGAGGCCCGTGTGCTGCAGGGAGTCCTAGTGGTGAGTACAGTGGAGGCTCCGCTGCCTGCTCCCAGGCAGTGCCCCCAGACGGGTGCTCACACGGCGCAAAGCCTGGCTTCCCAATGAGGGCGGCAGCTCAGTTACTGGGGACGTTGGTTCCAGGCAGGTCCTGCTGGCCGACGACTCATGCTCCTTGGTGGCTCTAAAGTCCTAGAACGTCACAGCTCCAACAGTGGTTCCGCTCACGCATTCTGCTCTCCCGTGAAACAAATCTAAAATTCTGCCCTCCAACCCCTTATGGACCCCCATGAGTCTCGCACCCTCTGTGGTGTTCTCGCCTGGCTGAAGCAAGGGGTTTTTGAGGTGGAGTCTGAACCCCTGATGGCAAACTGTTGGCTGTCTGCGGTGCCACCATGCTGGGTACACGGGAAACAGAGTTGTCTTTGTCCTGGGAGTATCTGCCTCTGCACTAGGGGCCATGGGAGGGGCCGTTTCTGATGGCCCTGACTTGACCTGTGCAGCCTGTCCCAGGCTTCCTCTGCTGAACCTATTCTGTCAGCTGATGTGGGCCCTGTCGCCGGGAGGCCCGTGTGCCTCCCTCACCGCGCCGAGCTCTCTGGATGAGGAGCTGGTGTAGGAGCTCTGGGAGGGTTTGAGAGGCTCAGAGAGAGGTGGACTCTGTAACTGGTACTAGGTCTGCTTTACAGATGGGGAAACTGAGGCACAGAGGTTGAGGCATAACTGGGAGACGTTGAGGCATAACTAGTGCTACCTGGCTGGAGGCTGGAGAGCTGGACACTCAGTGCTTCAGTCTGGACTTGGCTCCTGTGGCACGTGGCTCCCCGAGCCCCGGCTACCTTCCCTCTGTGCCCTGCATGGGACTCTCCAGCCCGACGGGAGGTGTGACCAAGAGGCGACAGGCTGAGGGCAGAGTGGTTTCCCACAGAGCCTGGACTGACACCAGTACCCCCTGCAGAGGTACAGCCCAGTGGTGGAGGCGGGCTCGGACGTGGTCTTCCGGTGGACCATCAATGACAAGCAGTCCCTGACTTTCCAGAACATAGTCTTCAATGTCATTTATCAGAGCGCAGCGGTCTTCAAGCTCTCAGTAGGTGGGCGGGGGGTTGGGAGGGGAGGGGATAGAGGTGGGGTGAGAGGGAATGGGTGGGGATGGGGGGGCAGGGTGGGGCAGGGGGAGGAGAAGGGGGCGGGCTCTTCAGTCACCTCTGCCTTCCCTCTGCTTCCTGCTGCCAAGGATGCTGTGGCGGCTGTGGGTGAGTTCGGGGAGAGGTGCCAAGCGGGGCTGGGCCTCCCACCTGCCGCTGGTGCCCACCAATGCCTGTCCCCACAGCTGACGGCCTCCAACCATGTGAGCAATGTCACCGTGAACTACAATGTCACCGTGGAACGGATGAACAGGATGCAGGGCCTGTGGATCTCCACGGTGCCGGCTGTGCTGCCCCCTGATGCCTCGCTGCTGCTGACGGCGGGTGTGCTGGTGGACTCGGCTGTGGAGGTGGCCTTCCTGTGAGTGCCTTGGGGGCCTGTTGGGGGCGAGCACTAGGCTCTCCTCCCAGCCCCAGCCTCGGGACCCCACAGCAAGGGACCGTTTCTCTAAGCCTCAGTTTCCTTGTCTGTTGGGAGGTCCTCGGTTCACAGGAGCCCTTGAGGCTACATAGGAGCTGGAAGAGGCCCCACAGCACAGCGGGTGCACCCTGAACAGACGACCAGGGCGTGACTGTAGAGCAGAGCCTCAGCTGGGACCCAGGCACCCCCTCCCCGACAGGCACAGCCAGCCCCATTCACCTGCCTGCCACCATGCAGTCATGTCCTGGTCCACTCACTGCCTGCCCACTGCCCCGGCAGATGGACCTTTGGGGACGGGGAGCAGGCCCTCGGCCAGTTCCAGCCTCCGTACGATGAGTCCTTCCCGGTTCCAGACCCTTCGGTGGCCCAGGTGCTGGTGGAGCACAACGTCACGCATACCTACACTGCCCCAGGTAAGGGCTGAGGGGGTGAGGGGACCGATACCCTTCAGGCCCTGAGCATGGGGCTCCCCAGTCTCCCAGAGTCAGCCTGCCTCCTTCCCCCGCAACAGCCCTCACTATGACCCCACCTGGGCTGATGGCTTTGGCTTTGGCTGGGGTGAGGGAGGGGCCAGGTGGAGGTGGGGAGTGGACAGGGAAGCTGGGCCCTCTGGTCTCCCAGCCTGGCTCTGGCTGCTCTGCTGTTCCGAGTGCAGCTGCACTTGGGGGTGGTGCCATCCTCACCTGCTGGCCCTCAGTGCCGTAGCACCTGTGCTTCGTCTGGCATGTAGTCTGGGAGCGAGGACCCTCAGGGCTGGGCCATAGGTGCACCATTCAACCCTGGGCTCCTCAGACGGGGGCTTCTGCTGAGCGGGTGCGGAGCAAGTGGGGGTGCCACTGTCGCCCACTTGGGCCTGTCCCCACAGGTGAGTACATCCTGACCGTGTTGGCATCCAACGCCTTTGAGAACTTGACGAAGCAGGTGCCTGTGAGCGTGCGTGCCGCCCTGCCCTCGGTGGCTGTGGGTGTGAGCGACAGCGTCCTGGTGGCTGGCCGGCCCATCACTTTCTACCCACACCCGTTGCCTGCGCCTGGCGGTGTCCTGTACATGTGGGACTTCGGGGATGGCTCCCCGGTCCTAACGCAGAGCCAGCCGGCCACCAACCACACCTACGTCTCAAGGGGCACCTACCGTGTACGCCTGGAGGTCAACAACACGGTGAGCAGTGCGGTGGCCCACGCAGACGTGCGCGTCTTTGAGGAGCTCCGTGGGCTCAGCGTGGACATGAGCCTGGCCGTGGAGCAGGGCGCCCCTGTGGTGGTCCGTGCCACGGTGGAGACGGGTGACAATATCACATGGACCTTTGACATGGGGGATGGCACCGTGCTGTCGGGCCCCGAGGCCACTGTTGAGCACGTGTACCTGCAGGCACAGAACTGCACGGTGACTGTGGGCGCGGCTAGCCCCGCCGGCCGCCTGGCTCGGAGCCTGCAGGTGCTGGTCTTCGTCCTGGAGGTGCTGCGCATCGAACCCACCACCTGCATCCCCACACAGCCCGACGCGCGGCTCAAGGCCTATGTTACCGGGGACCCAGCCCACTACCTCTTTGACTGGACCTTCGGGGACGGTTCCTCCAACACCACTGTGCATGGGCGCCCGGAGGTGACGCACAACTTCACGCAGAGCGGCACATTCCCCCTGGCACTTGTGCTGTCGAGCCGCGTGAACAAGGCACATTACTTCACTAGCATCTGCGTGGAGCCCGAGGTGGGCAACGTCACCCTGCGGCCAGAGAAACAGTTCGTGCAGCTAGGGGTCGAGGCCCGGCTGGAGGCATGCGTCTGGCCTCCGTTCCCCTACCGCTATGCCTGGGACTTTGGCACCGAGGAAGCCACCTCTGCCCATGCTGGGGGCCCCAGGATGACGTTCACCTACCGAGATCCAGGCTCCTATCTGGTGACAGTCACCGTGTCCAACAATGTCTCTGCTGCCAACGACTCGGCCCTGGTGGAGGTGCAGGAGCCTGTGGTGGTCACAGACATCAAGGTCAATGGCTCCCTCGTGCTGGAGCTGCAGCAGCTGTACCTGTTCTCCACTGTGGGTCGCGGGCGACCTGCTAGCTACCTGTGGGATCTGGGGGACGGTGGGCAGCTTGAGGGTCCTGAGGTTACCCACGCCTACAACAGCACTGGCGACTTCATTGTCAGAGTGGCTGGCTGGAATGAGGTGAGCCGCAGCGAGGCCTGGCTCAATGTGACGGTGAAGCGGCGAGTACGGGGGCTTGTCATCAATGCCAGCCGCACGGTGGTGCCCCTGAATGGCAGCGTGAGCTTTAGCACCTTGCTGGAGGCCGGCAGTGATGTGCACTACTCCTGGGTGCTCTGTGACCGCTGCACACCTATCCCTGGGGGCCCTACCATGTCCTACACCTTCCGTTCGGTGGGCACCTTCAGTGTGATTGTCACAGCTGAGAATGAGGTGGGCTCTGCCCAGGACAGTATCTTCATCTATGTCCTGCAGCTTATCGAGGGGCTGCAGGTGGTGGGTGGTGGCGGCTGCTTCCCCACCAACCACACAGTGCAGCTGCAGGCCGTGGTCCGGGATGGCACCAACATCTCCTACAGCTGGACTGCCTGGCGGGAGGGGGGCCTGGCCCTGTCTGGCAGTGGCAGAGCCTTCTCACTCACCACGCTTGAGGCCAGCACTTACCATGTGCAGCTGCGGGCCACCAACATGCTGGGCAGCGCCTGGGCCGACTGCACTGTGGTCTTCGTGGAGCCTGTGGGGGGACTGATGGTGGCCGCTTCCCCGAACCCAGCTGCCATCAACACGAGTGTCACCCTCAATGCTGAGTTAGCTGGCGGCAGTAATGTCCTATACACTTGGTCCTTGGAGGAGGGACTGAGCTGGGAGACCCCTGAGCCGTTTACCACCCACAGTTTCCCCAAGCCTGGCTTGCACTTGGTCACCGTCATGGCAGGGAACCCGCTGGGCTCGGCCAATGCCACCATGGAAGTGGCCGTGCAGGTGCCTGTCAGTGGCCTCAGCATCAGGGCCAGCGAGCCGAGTGGCAGCTTCGTGGCAGCTGGCTCCTCTGTGCCCTTCTGGGGGCAGCTGGCCACGGGCACCGATGTGAGCTGGTGCTGGGCTGTGCCTGGTGGCGGCAGCAAGCACGGCCCGCATGTCACCATGGGCTTCCCAGAAGCTGGTGCCTTCTCCATTCGGCTCAACGCCTCCAACGCAGTCAGCTGGGTCTTGGCCACACACAACCTCACAGTGGAGGAGCCCATCGTGGGCCTGGTGCTGTGGGCCAGCAGCAAGGTGGTGGCGCCTGGGCAGCTCGTCCACTTTCAGATCCTGCTGGCTGCTGGTTCAGCTGTCACTTTCCGCCTGCAGGTGGGTGGGGCCAGCCCCGAGGTGCTCTCTGGGCCCCGTTTCTCCCGCAGCTTCCCCCACGTCGGAGACCACGTGGTAAGTGTGCAGGGCGAGAACCATGTGAGCTGGGCCCAGGTGCAGGTGCGCATCGTGGTGTTGGAGGCTGTGAGTGGGCTGCAGGTGCCCAACTGCTGTGAGCGGGGCATTGCCACAGGCACTGAGCGGAACTTTACAGCCCGCGTGCAGCGCGGCTCTCGGGTCGCCTACGCCTGGTACTTCTCGCTGCAGAAGGTCCAGGGTGACTCACTGGTCATCCTTTCGGGTCGCGACGTCACCTACACGCCTGTGGCCGCAGGGCTGCTGGAGATCCAGGTGCGAGCCTTTAACGCCCTGGGCAGCGAGAACCGCACACTGGTGTTGGAGGTCCAGGATGCCATCCAGTATGTGGCCCTGCGGAGCAGCCCCTGCTTCACCAACCGCTCAGCGCAGTTTGAGGCCACCACCAGCCCTAGCCCCCGGCGCGTGGCATACCACTGGGACTTTGGGGATGGGGCCCCAGGACAGGACACAGATGAGCCCAGGGCCGAGCACACCTACCTGAGGCCCGGGGACTACCGTGTGCAGGTGAATGCCTCCAACCTGGTGAGCTTCTTCATGGCGCAGGCCACAGTGACTGTCCAGGTACTGGCCTGCCGAGAGCCAGAGGTGGACGTGGCCCTGCCCCTGCAGGTGCTCATGCGGCGTTCCCAGCGCAACTACCTGGAGGCCCACGTCGACCTGCGCAACTGTGTCACCTATCAGACCGAGTACCGCTGGGAGGTGTACCGCGCTGCCAGCTGCCAGCGGCCAGGGCGCACAGCTCGTGTGGCCCTGCCTGGTGTGGACGTGAGCCGGCCTCAGCTGGTGCTGCCGCGGCTGACACTGCCCGTGGGCCACTACTGCTTTGTGTTTGTGGTGTCATTTGGGGACACGCCGCTGGCACAGAGCATCCAGGCCAACGTGACGGTGGCCCCCGAGCGCTTGGTGCCCATCGTTGAGGGTGGCTCGTACCGTGTGTGGTCGGATACACAGGACCTGGTGCTGGATGGGAGTGAGTCCTATGATCCTAACCTGGAGGATGGTGAACAGACGCCCCTCAGCTTCCACTGGGCCTGCGTGGCTTCGACACAGGTCAGTGGGTGCAGGGCTGTTCGCCCTGCTACCTCCTCCACCTGTGACCCCGAGGCGGGAACACCCAGCACACCACTAGGGTTGGCCTGTCCCAGCATGGGGAGGGAGTCTCCTGAGCTGTGCCCTGGGCTGGGCTCCATTTTGAGGCTGAATGGGACTCTCAATGCCACATGACCCCTTGTTCTCGGCCTGCAGAGGGAGGCTGGTGGGTGTGCACTGAACTTTGGGCCCCGAGGGAGCAGCATGGTCACCATTCCCCGGGAGCGGCTGGCGGCCGGCGTGGAGTATACCTTCAGTCTGACTGTGTGGAAGGCTGGCCGCAAGGAGGAGGCCACCAACCAGACGGTGGGTGCTGTCCGCCCCTTGGCCACACTCCTGACACCCCAGCATCCCTGCTCATCAGTGGTTTTCTGTATTTTAGTGCTTGCAGAGGCTGTGTGCTCTTGCCCAACTTTCCGTTGTTTCGATACAAATTGTATTTAACAAAACAGCCTGCTTCAGCTTTGCTTCCTTCCAAACCTGCCACAGCTCCATGTAAAATCTTCAAGCCACACAGTCTCCCAACACCACTTAACAGTGAGAAACAGCCTCTTCCCACCCCGGAGGCAGGCACTGTCCTGAGGCTGTGCCCCTGTTCCTGGATATAGTGGGCCGGTTCTCACCCCCGAGATCCCCTCTTGGGACGGCCAGGAGGCTCGCTGACCCTGAGCTTGTGGTGGCTGCTCCTGCTGCTGTCAGGCAAGACCTGCTGGTGCCCCAGAGCGAGTGTCTTGTCTCCCAGGCCCTACTTTACTCAGCTGGCCTGATTGTGGTCCTGCCCAGAGGGGTTGGCTGTGGGGAGGGCGTGGGAGCATGTTCCATTCTGGCTCAGCCTCCTGACCCGGGCCCTGGACCAGGGCTGCACCTGAAAGTCAGGGCTGCAAGAAAACCGTGGTCCTCATGCCCACATACATATCTCTTTACACATACGCCTCCCAGGGTCCCTCAGCGACCACCGCCTGCTTCCTGCCAGGCTCCAGCTGGGTACAGGACACCTGAACACATGCCCCGGGGTCCTCTGCCCTGTGGATGAGCTTCTGCCTCCTAGGTTGGGAGGTGGAAAACCGGACAACTATGCCAGGAGGGGCTGAGCTCACCAGCAGCAGCCAGTCCCCTGGGAACCCTGGAGTTTGGGAGCAGCATCCTCCACGGGTCCCCCAAATATTCCAGCATGCTGGGCAGACGTGGGCTGAAAGTAACCCCACTCCCTCCCCAGGTGCTAATCCGGAGCGGCCGGGTGCCCATTGTGTCCTTGGAGTGCGTGTCCTGCAAGGCACAGGCTGTGTATGAAGTGAGCCGAAGCTCCTACGTGTACCTGGAGGGCCGCTGCCTCAACTGTAGCAGCGGTTCCAAGCAAGGGGTGAGGCAGAAAGGGGTGTGGCTGGGTGGGGGATGGGTCCCATGGGCCAGCAGTGGAGCCTGCAGGCAGAAGTGGCGCAGGCCGGGCAGGGCGTTCCACCCCCTCACCACCCCTCCTGCCTGCAGCGCTGGGCGGCACGCACCTTCAGTAACAAGACGCTGGTGCTGGACGAGACTACCACGTCCACGGGCAGTGCAGGCATGCGGCTGGTGCTGCGGCGGGGTGTGCTGCGGGACGGCGAGGGCTACACCTTCACGCTCACCGTGCTAGGCCACTCTGGCGAGGAGGAGGGCTGCGCCTCCATTCGCCTGTCCCCCAACCGCCCGCCGCTGGGGGGCTCATGCCGCCTCTTTCCCCTGGGTGCTGTGTATGCCCTCACCACCAAGGTGCACTTCGAATGCTCGGGTGAGTGTGGGCCTGCGTTGGGGGGTGCGGCAGGAGCTCCCCACTCTGATGCCTTGGGGCCCTCCTGTGATGCCGTGGGATCCTGCAGGCTGGCAGGATGCGGAGGACGCCAGCGCCCCACTGGTGTACGCCCTGCTGCTGCGGCGCTGTCGCCAAGGCCACTGCGAGGAGTTTTGTGTCTATAAGGGCAGCCTCTCCAGCTATGGGGCCGTGCTGCCTCCGGGCTTCAGGCCACACTTCGAGGTGGGCCTGGCTGTGGTGGTGCAGGACCAGCTTGGAGCCGCTGTGGTCGCCCTCAATAGGTGAGCCGGGCCTTGGGAGGGTGCCCCCAAGACTGCTGGCTGCTCACTGTCCCCCTCCGCTCACCACCACCTTCCAATCGCAGGTCTCTGGCCATCGTTCTTCCAGAGCCCAACAGCAGCGCAGTGGGGCTCACAGCCTGGCTGCACGGGCTCACAGCCAGTGTGCTCCCGGGGCTGCTGCGGCAGGCTGACCCCCAGCACGTCATCGAGTACTCGCTGGCCCTGGTCACCGTGCTGAACGAGGTGAGTGCAGGCAGGAGGGGACTGCACATCTGTTGCATGCATGCTGGAGGACTGAGACCCATGCTTTCTGGAGCCTTGCAGAAGGCTCAGCCCGGGCCCCACAGACAAATCCCATTGACCTTGAAGTGGCACCCTTCGCTCCCAGCAGCCACACCTACCGGGCCCTCCTCAGTGCCCGCTGGCCAGTACCTCCCGCTCCCAGGAGGGCCCCTGTGTATGCCCTATTTTGCCCATGAAGAAACAGCTCAGGGTCAGGTCGTTCCATGTCACGTAATGTGTGTAACTGACCCCAGGAGTCATGGGTAGCTGCCAGTATCCTTCCCTGCTGACAGCGCCCTGTGCCCCTGCCTTCCCCAGTACGAGCAGGCCCTGGACACGGCAGCAGAGCCCGAACATGAGCGGCAGCGCCGAGCCCAGATACGCAAGAACATCACAGAGACCCTGGTGTCCCTGCGGGTCCACACTGTGGACGACATTCAGCAAATCGCTGCTGCGCTGGCCCAGTGCATGGTAGGATGGCCCCACCTGCCATCCAGCCCCATATGCCTGCCTGGGCACTGGGTCTAGCCACCGGGGTAGACGGGCAGCTTGGCCAAGGAGCTGAGCCTCCCAGCCTGGGCTCCTTTCCACCGTGGCCCTCCTTGGCCTCTGACCTGCCTTGGCAGCCTTAGCCGTTCTTCTGCTGTTGCTTGTGAACCCAGGGTGCCTCTGGGGGACTCAGGGGTCAAAGAGGGGCCCAGATGTAGGGAGGGGCTGGGAAGATGCTGCTCTGTCCACTCCCTTCCCCCCCCTTCTCCTTTCCCCCACCCTTTGTGGTCTTGCAGCATTCCCCTGGCACGCCCAAAGTTTCTCTCCCCTGAGGCGCCTGCTGCCACAGCCCAGGCTCAGGGGTGGGCAGGGCACATCTAATGGGGGTACTGTGTCTGCATGGCAGGGGGCTGATGTGAGACTGGGGCAGGGCAGAGCCCTGGGAGGAGAAGCGTTAAGAGGGCTTTGCAGCTGGAGCTACCCTGCTGCCTCGTGGTGTCCCTGGCTATGCTGTGGCTGGGTCTGGATGCTGTCCATGGCCTTGGCAGCTGCCTCGCTCTCATTTGTGTGAAAAGTTGCCTTGTGTGGCTGGTGGGCCTTGTCACGTGAGCCCAGGTGGAGACCCTGGGTCAGAAGGAGCCACAGAAGGCACTTAGCGGGGAGACTGTGAGGGGTCCAGTCCTGCAGGCTCTCCAGCTGCAGGGCCAGGAGCGGGAGCTGGGTGAGGAGGACGTGTGCAAGGAGTGCACGCGGCTGCACCTGGGAGTGGAGCTGGACACTGTCGGCTCCTCGTAGGGGCCCAGCAGGGAGCTCGTGTGTCGCTCGTGCCTGAAGCAGACACTGCACAAGCTGGAGGCTATGATGCGGATCCTGCAGGCGGAGACCACCACAGGCACTGTCACGCCCACCGCCATTGGAGACAGTATTCTCAACATCACAGGTGTGCAGCCTAAGCCCCACAACATCCTTCCGCCGCCCCCCGCCCCCCGCCTATCTTCTGTCTTCTCCCCTCCCTTCCCCCTTCTCCCTTCCCCTTCCCCTTCCCCCCTCCTTTCTGCCTCCCCCTCCCTTCTCCCTACCCCTCCCTTCCCCCCTCCCCCTTCCCCTTCCCCTTCTCCTTCCCTCTTCTCCTCCCCCCTCCCCTCCCTTCCCTCTCCTCCCTTCCCTCCCCTGCTTCCCTCCTCCTCTCCCTCCCCTGCTTCCTGCCTCCCTCTTCCTTCTCCTCCCTCCTTCCCTTCCCCCTTCCCCTCCCCTCCCTCTCCTCCTCTGCTATTCCCCACTCCCCTGCTCCTCCCCCTTCTCCCTCTCCCTTTCTCCTCCTCATTTCCTCCCCTCCCCTCCTCTCCCACTCACTCCTCCCCCATTCCCCTCCCCCACTTCCTTCACTTCCCGTCTCTCTCATCTCCCTCCCTCCTCCCCCATCCCTCTTTCCTCCTCCCACATTCTCCTCTCACTTCCCCGTACCCCCTTCTTCATTCCCCATATCCCTGCCTCCTTCCCCTCCCCCCTCCTCTTCCCCATCATCCTCTTCCCCCACTTCCTCCCCTGCCTTCTTCCTCCTCCTTCCCCCTGCTCCTTCCTGTCCCCTTCTTCCCTCTCCACCTCTCCCCACTCTCCCATTCTCATCTTCATTCCTTCCCTTATTCACATTCCTTTGTTCTATCTCTATCGCCCTTCCCTTTTCCATTCCTTCTCCCCCTCATCCCTCTCCTCCCTTCATCCCTCCCATTTCTCTTCATCCCCTTCCCCCATCCCCCTCCCTACCTCTCCCTCCCCTTCACTCCCCTCCCTCTTCTCATTCTTCTCCCTCTTCTCCCCTCATTCCCCATCCCTCTCATCCCCCCTGTCTCCTCCTCATCCCCCTTCTTCTCTCCCTCCTCATCCCCCTCCCTCTCGTTGTGCCTCTCCCTCTTCTCATCCCCCTCCTTCTCTCCAGCTTCCCCCTTCCTTTTGCCTGCATCTCCCCCCCACCAAACCCCTCAGGTTCCCCTTTTCTGCCAGCCCCCACCCTCCCTCTGCCTCCCCTTCTTGCCTGCACTGACCTCACACCTGTCTGCAGGAGACCTCATCCACCTGGCCAGTTCCGATGTGCAGGGGCCGCAGCCCTCGGAGCTGGGGGCCGAGCCGCCATCAAGGATGGTGGCATCCCGGGCCTACAACCTGACCTCCTCCCTCATGCGCATCCTCATGCGCTCCCGTGTGCTCAACGAGGAGCCCCTTACGCTGGTGGGTGAGGAGATTGTGGCCCAGGGCAAGCGCTCGGACCCCGGGAGCTTGCTGTGCTACGGCAGTGCCCCAGGCCCCGGCTGCCACTTCTCCATCCCCGAGGCCTTCAGCGGGGCCCTGTCCAACCTCAGCGACGTGGTGCAGCTCATCTTCCTGGTGGACTCCAACCCCTTTCCCTTCGGCTACATCAGCAACTACACTGTCTCTACCAAGGTGGCCTCCATGGCGTTCCAGACACAGGCCGGCACCCAGATCCCCATTGAGCGGCTGGCCTCAGAGCGTGCCATCACCGTCAAGGTGCCCAACAACTCAGACTGGGCCACCCTCGGCCACCACAGCCCCACCCGCTCCGTCGTGATCCAGCCCCAGGCCTCTGTTGGTGCCGTGGTCACCCTGGACAGCAGCAACCCTGCGGCTGGGCTGCACCTGCAGCTCAACTACACGCTGTTGGATGGTGCGTGCAGTGGGCAGGGCACATGCCCCCCGGCCTCGTTCCCAGGGGAGGGCGTTTCTCGTAGGGCCTCCAAGAGTGTCTCTGGTGAAGTCCTCCTCCTGCTTCATGGGCTGCTGGAGGCCCGGCGGTGGAGAAGCCGGTGCCGGCTCCAGCGCAGAGGCTCCTGTGGCCTCTTAGGCCTGTGGCAGAGGACGGGCTCAGGAGGGCCATTGTGGGTTTCCCCGGGTGGGTGAGCTTCCTAGTGGGCATCCGATCTGTGCATGCTGCCCCCAGGTCGCTACCTTTCTGAGGAACCCGAGCCCTACCTGGCAGTCTACTTGCACTCGGAACCCCAGCCCAACCAGCACAACTGCTCAGACAGCAGGAGGATCCGGCCCGAGTCACTGGAGGGCACCGACCACAGGCCCTACACCTTCTTCATTGCCCCAGGGTGAGCTCCGAGGGCCAGCCTGGCAGGGCAGCGGGGGACACCGTGGGTCAGCATGGCCTGGGTCATCGGCCCTGTGGGGACAGCAGGCAGCGAGGGGACTGGGGACTGGGCTGGGTGTGGAGTCTAGGACCCAGATACCCACCTGGCAGGGCCCAAGCTCACCTCGACTGCCCCTTCCCCGCCCAGGAATGGAGACCCAGCAGGGAGTTACTATCTGAACCTCACCAGCCACTTCCACTGGTCAGCGCTGGAGGTGTCTGTGGGCGTGTACACGTCCCTGTGCCAGTACTTCAGCGAGGAAGACATGGCGTGGAGGACAGAGGGGCTGCTGCCCCTGGAGGAGACCTCACCCCAGCAGGCCGTCTGCCTCACCCGCCACCTTACTGCCTTTGGCGCCAGCCTCTTTGTGCCCCCAAGCCGCGTCCACTTCATGCCTCCCGTGAGTGGCCCCATGTGCCTGGGAGATTTTGCAGGGTAGAGGAGGGCCTGGGTGGGCTCGGCTCTGTCCTGAGAAGGCGCAGCTTGCATGTGACCTCCTGGGCCTGGTGGCTGTATCCTCACAGGAGCCAACAGTGGGCGTAAACTACATTGTCCTGCTGACATGCGCCGTGTGCCTGGTGACCTACGCGGTCATGGCTGCCATCCTGCACAAGCTGGACCAGCTGGATGCCAGCCGGGGCCGAGCCATCCCCTTCTGCGGGCAGCGGGGCCGCTTCAAGTACGAGATCCTCGTCAAGACAGGCTGGGGCCGAGGCTCAGGTGAGGGGGCGCAGCGGGGCGTTGGGGCCTCCCTACTCTTGCTGGCTCTGCGGGTTGTACTCTCTGGAAGTGAGTCTTGCTGCAGGCATCGGAACAAGGCAGTTTCTCCAGTGCTGTGCAAAGGGCTCATGTGTAAATACTGGAATGACCTTGTGGGCACTCACTGTCCCTGAGGACTAGGACAGCTCCTAGCTGGAAGTAGGTGCCCAGTTGTTTAGGGTGGGCAGCCCGTGTTTTGCATGTTAGTGTGGCCCCCCCAGTTATTGAGCTTAGCCCGTGCAGAGGGGAGTGTTGTGACCAGTGCGGGAGACTGTGCTCCCACCCGCAGTCACATGGAGACGACATCACCCTCCCCAGGGCTGGCTGTTTCTTTTTTTTTTTCCTTGTTTGTTTTGAGACTGACACTTGCTCTGTTGCTCAGGCTGGAGTACGGTGTGATCTCAGCTCATTGCAGCCTCTGCCTCCCGGGTTTAAGCCGTTCTCCTGCCTCAGCCTCCCGTGTAGCTGGGACTACAGGCACGCGCCACCACACCTAGCTAATTTTTATATTTTTAGTAGAGACAGGGTTTCATCATGTTGGCCAGGCTGGAGTTAATCTGCCCATCTTGGCCTCCCAAAGTGCTGGGATTATAGGCGTGAGCCACTGCACTCAGCTCCCATGGTGTTTCATCAATAACTCCATTTTCTATTGGAATTGCCCTTCCCGCGTTCCCTTTTTTGTTTTTTTGTTTTGTTTTGTTTTGTTTTTTGGATACGGGACTCTTGCTCTGTGGCCCAGGCTGGAGTGCAGTGGTGCAATCTCGTCTCATTGCAGCCTCCACCTCCTGGGTTCTAAGTGATTCCCCTGCCTCAGCCTCCTGACTAGCTGGGATTACAGGTGCACGCCACCACGCCGGGCTGATTTTTCATTATGTTGGCCAGGCTGGTCTCAAACTCCTGACCTCAGGTGATCTGCCAGCCTCAGTCTCCCCAGGTGCTGGGATGACAGGCGTGAGCCACCGTCCCCAGCCATGTCCCCATTTTTTATCTTCGTGCTGTGCCTTCATCTTCATTGGCCAGTTCTGTTTTTTGATTACCTACTTTTAAAAACTGTCCCCTGGGGCAGGGTGTGGTGGCTCAAGCCTGTAATCCCAGCACTTTGGGAGGCCAAGGCGGGTGGATCACGAGGTCAAGAGATCAAGACCATCCTGGTCAACATGCTGAAACTCCGTCTCTACTAAAAATACAAAAAATCAGCTGGGCGTGGTGGCGCGTGCCTGTAATCCCAGCTACTCAGGAGGCTGAGGCAGGAGAATTGCCTGAACCCAGGAGGCGGAGGTTGGGGTGAGCCGAGATTGCGCCATTGCACTCCAGCCTGGGTAACAAGAGCGAAACTCCGTCTCAAAAAAAAAAAAACTGTCACCTGGGTCTGTCAATGGGAGAGAAGGGGACGTGGCTTCACGCTTTGCAGTCCGCATGCGTGGAGGGACAGGTGTGCGGTGCGGGTCACTGGTTGTGACGTGGACTGAGGCATGTGCAGTTATCACACAGTTATCTCTGTGTCACTTAACCATGTCCTTGCGGCCTTGGTGTTTATTGGAAAAATTGGGGTAACCGCAGCCCCTGGTGCATGGCAGAGCCATGCAAAGCTGGGACTGCCGGTGCAGCTTCTTGAGTGCACGGAGGCCAAAGTTAAGACGACTTGCCTGCGATGCCACCCATGTTGGGGAGCGGACCCAGCCTTCCACGCCTCCCTGTCGTCCACAGGCACCACAGCCCATGTGGGAATCATGCTGTATGGGGTGGACAGCCAGAGCGGCCACCGGCACCTGGATGGTGACAGAGCCTTCCACCGCAACAGCCTGGACATCTTCCAGATCGCCACCCCAAACAGCCTGGGCAGCGTGTGGAAAATCCGAGTGTGGCATGACAACAAAGGTCTGTGTGGACCCTGCTGACCTCTACCCCCTCCTGACCTCTGCCCCCTCCTCATCTCTGTCTGCCCCCTGCCCCTGCATCGGGCGCCGTTGGGCCTGACCTCTGTCCTGCACGTCCGTAGGGCTCAGCCCCGCCTGGTTCCTGCAGCACGTCATCGTTAGGGACCTGCAGACAGCCCGCAGTGCCTTCTTCCTGGTCAATGACTGGTTGTCAGTGGAGACGGAGGCCAACGGGGGCCTGGTGGAGAAGGAGGTGCTGGCAGCAAGTAAGGCCTCATTTCCTGCTCCTGCTATGTGGACAGGTGGGAGGGTGGGCTGGGTGATCCTGCCCAGAGGCCTCCCACAGCTCTGCCCTTCCTGCCCCCTAGGTGACGTAGCTCTGTTGAGCTTCCGGCGCCTGCTGGTGGCTGAGCTGCAGCGAGGCTTCTTCGACAAGCACATCTGGCTCTCCATATGGGACCGGCCACCTCGAAGCCGCTTCACCCGCGTCCAGAGGGCCACCTGCTGCGTCCTTCTCATCTGCCTCTTCCTGGGCGCCAACGCCGTGTGGTACGGGGCTGTGGGAGACTCTGCCTACAGGTGGGTGCCGTGGGGGTCGGGACAGCCTTCTCCTGTCCATCGCTTTCTTCCCCTAGCCTCACCTGCTTGGCCTCCTCCTCCACACAGCACGGGTCATGTGTCCAGGCTGAGCCCGGTGAGCGTCGACACAGTCGCCATTGGCCTGGTGTCCAGTGTGGTTGTCTATCCCGTCTACCTGGCTGTCCTGTTTCTCTTCCGGATGTCCCGGAGCAAGGTGGGCTGGGGCTGGCAGGACAGATGATGGAGCCTTGGCCTCAGCACCATGCCCAGGGCACTGTTCAGCACCGCAGCCAGAGGGAAAGGGGCCCATCAAAGGTGGGCTCTCAGGGAGGGTCAGCACAGTTGAGCAGCCTTAGTTAGACTGACCAGGGAGAAAGAGAGAAAACTCAGATGCCAGAATATTCTGTGAAAGAAAAGAGCAGATCGCTGCCAACCCTGTAGACATGAGCAGGACTTAAGGGATGTCACAGACACCTGCCCACCAACACATCAGGTAACTCAGAAGAATCGAGCACGTGGCTGCACATGCTTCTGAAACTGACTCAAGAAGAAGATCTCAGTAGATCTTACAGCAAGTGAAGAGTCTGACCAAGTTAGTCCCTTAGAAGCCTCCCACAGGGCAGCCGGGCGCAGTGGCTCACGCCTGTAATCCCAGCACTTGGAGAGGCTGAGGCGGGCGGATCACAAGGTCAGGAGATTGAGACCATTCTGGCTAACAGGGTGAAACCCCATCTCTACCAAAAATACAAAACTTAGCCAGGTGTGGTGGGCGCCTGTAGTCCCAGCTACTCGGGAGGCTGAAGCAGGAGAATCCCTTGAACCCAGGACACGGAGGATGCAGTGAGCCAAGATCATACCATTGCACTCCAGCCTCAGGAACAGAGTGAGATTCTGTCTCAAAAATAAATAAGTAAAGGAAATGAAATTTAAAAGTCAGTTCCTTAGCTGCACCAGTCACCTGTCAAGTGCTCAGTGGCACACGTGAGGGGCTGCCATCACGGACAGTGCAGATATCACACACCACCAGCACTCTAGAACGTTCTGTTTGATGGCACCAGGCTCTGCCCTGTCCGCTGAGGAGGTGACTTCTCGTGCCTGTCCTGAGCATGTCTGAGCTGCCGCCTGCTGACCACTGCCCTTGTCCACAGGTGGCTGCGGGCCCAAGCTCCACACCTGCCGGGCAGCAGGTTCTGGACATTGACAGCTGCCTGGACTCATCTGTGCTGGACAGCTCCTTCCTCACTTTCTCCGGCCTCCACGCTGAGGTAAGGGCTCCGCCGGGGGTCGAAGTCTGGACTGAGTGTCCTGCCGCCTCAGGGCAGCTTGGACTCAGACACTGTGCACTTCTTAGCAGACCTTTGCTGGACAGATGAAGAGTGACTTATTTCTGGATGATTCTAAGAGGTGGGTTCCCTGGAGAAACCTTGGTCCTGGTGCAGGTTGCTGTCGGGTGCTGGGGATGTGCGGGCTGGGTGTCTGTGGCTCCATGTGGTCACACTGCCTGGGAGCGGGTTTGCTTGGAAGCCCAGCGTGTCCTTGTGTGACTAGACGGGGGTGGGGTGTGTGCATAATGCGTCCCCTGGCTCCTTGCTGATCCCTGCCTCCTGAAGCCTGGTGTGCTGGCCGTCCAGCGAGGGCACACTCAGTTGGCCGGACCTGCTCAGCGACCCATCCATTGTGGGCAGCAACCTGCGGCAGCTGGCTCGGGGCCGGGCGGGCCATGGGCTGGGCGCAGAGGAGGACAGCCTCTCCCTGGCCAGCCCCTACTCTCCGGCCAAATCCTTCTCAGCATCAGGTGAGTTGGGATGAGAGGTGGGGGCTCTGAAGCTCACAGCGCAGCTGAGTCCACCCACTGCCTCCTGTCCCTCTAGATGAAGACCTGATCCGGCAGGTGCTTGCCCCCACCCAGGACACCCAAGTGGAAACGGACCTGCTCACCAGCCTGTGAGTGCTTGGCTCTTGGGGAAGAGGGGTCTGGAGGAGGGGCCGGGACCTGGGTGGGGAGGGAGTTGCTGGAGGTGGGGCCAGGACTCAGGGGAAGGGTTGCAGGAGGAGGGGCTGGCTCTTGGGATGGGGGGTGCTGGAGGAGGAGCCGGGACTCAGGCCCAGCAGCCATGCTCCCTGCCTAGGATGGGGTGGGGTGGGTGCACCATGGCTGGGCTGTACTGGTTCACTTCTCTGAACCTCCCGTTCCTTTTCTGGAAAGAGCCTCATAGGCTTCCCCAGAGCCCCAGAACCTTCCCTCTGGGGAAGAAGCAGGCGCACAGGGCTTTGGAGGAGCAGAAAGGCTCCTGTGTGAGGCTGGCCAGGGCCACGTTTTTATCTTGGTCTCAGAACAGTGAGAAATTATGGGCAGGTTTTTAAGTACCCCATTTTTTTCTTTTTGAGACCATTTTTGGTAATTGGCATTTTAAATAATTTCTTGGTTGGGTGCAGTGGCTCACGCCTGTAATCCCAGCACTTTGGGAGGCCAAAGCGGGTGGGTCACCTGAGGTCAGGAGTTCAAGACCAGCCTGGCCAACATGGTGAAACCTTAACTTTACTAAAAATACAAAAAAATTAGCTCGGTGTGGTGGTGAGCACCTGTAATCCCAGCTATTTGGGAGGCTGAGGCAGGAGAATCACTTGAACCCAGGAAGTAGAGGTTGCAGTGAGCCAAGATCTCACCACTGCACTCCAGCCTGGGCAACAAAGCATGACTGTCTCAAAAAATTTTTTTTCTTAATTTCTTGGTGGTTTTCCAACTTAGCAATAAAGGGTAACATAGAGTCAGTACGTATGTAGTCACATGCCGCGTGGCGTGGTCCCACACGTGACCCCGGGCTCTGCTGTGCCTTCTCATGCTCAGAGGCGCTGAGGTGCACACAGCCCTGCCTCGTGCTGCAGCTGCTGGCAGGGTTCAGTGCAGCGGCGCCCGGTGTATGTGTGGGGCCAGGAGCCAGTGGCCACACCACAGGGCCTGCATGTGTCTGGGTTTGGGTAACGACACCCTGTGAGGCTAGCCCAGTGAGAGAATGACCTCATGACGTGTTTCTCAGAGCGTCTCCCTGGCACTGGTGTGTGGCTGTGCTGCTTTTCCAGCACATCTGCTTTGAGTTCTGCATTATCCTTCCTTTCAGTGCTGGTCATTGTCCCAGGACCCAGACAAAAAGGAAAACTTGGTGTTTTACAGAAGGCAAAAGGCAGATGAGCATGACATGAGGGCAGCTTTAGGAAAAAATTGCCAAAATACAGAGTATGAGGAAATCCAGGGGGAGTCACTACACACTGACCAGCCCCCCAATATCTCTAGCCCAGAGCTCTTTGTGAAATCCAGATTCAGTGCCTCTGTGGGGACTTCTGGCAACAGCTCAGACTTGGTGGCCACACAGAGCACGTGGTCCTCCCGCCCTCCCCATGTCCTCAACCCTTGGCCATCCCTTATTCAGACAGTGCTTCAGGCTGAGAAGTTGGAGGCTTGGGTTCGTCCCGGACCCCTCTCTGGGTCCTTCCTCATGCCAGCCTCCAGCACGTCCCATGGCTCCTTTCCCAACTCAGAGCCTGGCCTTCCCGCACCTGGGCCTGCACCCTCCGTCCTGGTAGCACCTCTGCCCCGACATTCCTGGCCACCCCATGCCTCCCTTGCAGGCCATTCTCTGTACTTGCCAGCAAGAGCCGCTCCCTGAGTCAGACACTGTTTGAGTCGTTTGTGTTGCCATAAGGAATATTTGAGTCTGGGTCTTTATTTTAGACGGGATCTCACTCTGTTGCCCATGTTGGAGTGCAGTGGCATGATCGCTGCTCACTGTAACCTCCGCCTTTCAGGTTCAAGCAGTTCTCTACCTCAGTCTCCTGAGCAGCTGGGATTACAGGCACCCGCCACCACGCCTGCCTGGCTAATTTTTTTTGTGTTTTTAGTTGAGACGGGGTTTTACCATGTTGGCTGGGCTGGTCTTGAACTCCTGCCCTCCTGATCCACCCACCTTGGACTCCCAAAGTGCTGGATTACCAGCATGAGCCACCGTGCCTGGCCTAGTTGAGGCTGGGTCATTTTTAAGTTTTTTTGTAGAGGTAGGGTCTCACTGTCTCCCAACACCTGAGCTCAAGTGATTCTCCTGCCTCAGCCTCCTGAAGTACTGGGATTATAGGTGTGAGCCACCACGCCTGACTGAGACATGCCTCTCAAGGCAGCTGAGTGTGCTTTTTATCCTCTGAGAGACAGCAGAACAGGGAGCATTCAGTGCAGTGCTGCCCCTGGCCAGGCCGTTCTTTCCATGAGGGGCTCACCAGGGTGTAGGTGTGGCAAAGCACTGGGCCAGCCTCTGCATTTCTTCTCTGGCGGCTCTGGGACTGGGCAGGTTCACGTGGTGCTGTGACGCAGCCTTGGTGGTCATTGGCTCCTAGAGAAACCAGCAGATCTCTGGCCCCAGGGAGCCTTACATACTTTTGGGATTTGAAAGGCTTTTAATGTTATCTTGTCCAAAAGTGACTTTTAGGCCGTAAAACTGTGTGGGATAGACATACTGGTCTTTCTAGATTGTAGAGGTGCTCGTTGGATGGTTGGGACCCAATCATAGTTTGCAGGGTTGACAGCAGCCTGTTGCACCCTGAGAGGCTGTGTGCCACTGTAGGGGCAGCTGGAGGTCTAGGAAGAAGGCTGGCCGGTCAGGCTGTGAGTGATGGGTTTATCAGCAGAAAGCCAGCAGGAGGGGGACACAGGCGGACACCTGGCTTCGGCGCCTGGAGCAGCTCTTGGTGCACTGGCTCCCAGCACCACTCCCACTCTGGTTTGGGGTAGGGTCTTCTGGTGGGATCCCCATGGCCCTAGAGGCTCAAGAAACTGCCCACCCAGATCAGCATGGGCTTGGGCGCCACTGCCTCCAGGGAGGCAAGGAAGAATTCACGGCCTGTCACATCCTTCAGGTCCAGCACTCCTGGGGAGAAGACAGAGGCGCTGGTGCTGCAGAGACTGGGGGAGCCGGGGCTCCCCAGCCCGGGCCTGACCTGGGAACAGCCCCAGGCAGCGAGCCTCTCCAGGACAGGTGTGCTTGCACAGGCCCGGGACGCCCCCAGCCCCTCCCTTTGGGCTGCCGGTCACAGGTCTGTCCCTGCCTCCCCAGGACTGGTGGAGGGCCTGCGGAAGCGCCTGCTGCCGGCCTGGTGTGCCTCCCTGGCCCACGGGCTCAGTCTGCTCCTGGCGGCTGTGACTGTGGGAGTCTCAGGGTGGGTGGGTGCCAGCTTCCCCCCTGGTGTGAGTGTCGCATGGCTCCTATCCAGCAGCGCCAGCTTCCTGGCCTCGTTCCTCGGCTGGGAGCCACTGAAGGTGAGGGGGCTGCCAAGGGCGGGGCTCCAGGCCTCTAGCACAGGGGACCCCTCTGAAGCCTTCTGCTCCCCAGGTCCTGCTGGAAGCGTTGTACTTCTCACTGGTGGCCAAGCGGCTGCACCCCGATGAAGACGACACCCTTGTGGAGAGCCCGGCCGTGACGCCTGTGAACACACGTGTGCCCCGTGTACGGCCCCCCCATGGCTTTGCACTCTTTCTGGCCAAGGAGGAAGCCCGCAAGGTCAAGAGGCTACACGGCATGCTACGGGTGAGCCTGAGTGCCTGAGCCTGTGCCCCTGCCACCACCACCTCTATCTCCCATCTCCCACCCGTGCACGAGGGACACTCCCATCCCCCTTTCCTCACCTCAGAAGGCCCTTAGGGGTTCAAGGCTCTGCAGCCTCTACCCAGACTCTCTCTTACCCCAAGCCTTCCACCTGCTGCCCCAGTCCCTGTCAGGGCCCAGCTCTGCCTGGTCATGAAGGGCCCTAAGCACTGCTGCAGTGGCCTGCGTGGGGTCCCTGGCAGGGTGTGCTGCCATTATTTGCCATGAGGCACCCAGCCAGGCAGTCTGCTACCTAGTGTTCCCAAAGCCCCACTGTCACCGTGTGCTGGGGCCAGGCTGACCACAGGGCCCCCCGCCGCCCATCCACCAGAGCTTGCTGGTGTACATGCTTTTCCTGCTGGTGACGCTGCTGGCCAGCTATGGGGATGCCTCGTGCCATGGACATGCCTACCGTCTGCAGAGCGCCATCAAGCAGGAGCTGCACAGCCAGGCCTTCCTGGCCATCACACGGTACGGGCACCCCAGCGCACTTGTCTGTTGGGCTTTGGTTTTGTCTTTAGTCCAGCTAGATGCTAGGGGATGTGTGGAAATGTGTAGATACATTTTTGGTTGCCAGAACCGGAGGCAACTGCTGCTGGCATCAGTGGGCAGAGGTAAGGGATGCAGCGCACAGCATGGCCCGATGACAGAGAATCATCTGCCCCAGAACGGCCCCCGGCTGAGGCTGAGGAGCCCAGATCTGGCTATGGACAGCGGGAGGCGGGGGCAGTGGGAGCCATGCTCCCTGGGTCTCTGGCAGCCGCTCACCTGAGACAGGCGTGAGGCAGTGGGGGCCAGAGTGCGTGACTGTGTCTGCTGCGGCAGGTCTGAGGAGCTCTGGCCATGGATGGCCCACGTGCTGCTGCCCTACGTCCATGGGAACCAGTCCAGCCCAGAGCTGGGGCCCCCACGGCTGCGCCAGGTGCGGCTGCAGGAAGGTGAGCTGGCAGGGGTGCCCCAAACCTTAAAAGGCTTGCTCTTCTCCAGAGAGCAGCCTTCAGTGGAGTTCTGGCATCAGCCCTGTTCCCTAGCTGTGTGACCTTTGTTTTTTCACACCGTGGTTTCCTTTTCTGTATGTATGTTAGTGATGATCACGTTGTCTAATCGATGGCTGCTGGGAGGGTTCCCTGGGGTGGCGCGCAGCCAGAGCTCAGGTGAGCAGGGCAGCAGGCAACCCTCCTATTGGGTTGTGATAATGCCCTGGTCCTGGCCTGGGGCTCTGCATTTCAGCACTCTGCCCAGACCCTCCTGGCCCCAGGGTCCACATGTGCTCGGCCGCGGGAGGCTTCAGCACCAGCGACTACAGCGTTGGCTGGGAGAGTCCTCACAATGGCTCGGGGACATGGGCCTACTCAGCTCCGGACCTGCTGGGGTAAGCAGAGTGAGGGCACCAGGCGACCGTGGCAAGGCAGGAGTTCTCCAGGGGCGCTGTGGCCTCCTGGCCAGCCTGGACCCAGGGTGCTTGCGTGGCTGGGCTGCGGCACAAACGCCACCTCTCTCCGGCAGGGCGTGGTCTTGGGGTTTCTGCGCCGTGTATGACAGTGGGGGCTACGTACAGGAGCTGGGCCTAAGCCTGGAGGAGAGTCGCGCCCAGCTGCGCTTCCTGCAGCTGCACAACTGGCTGGACAACAGGTAGGCACGGGGCTGACCCCCTTGGCTGCGGGACGCCGGCTGCCTCCCTGGTCCCTCGCCGGTCCCCTCCCCGGTGGCTGCAGTCATCAGCCTAAGCGGCTTCCACTGCCGCAGCCACACCCGCACTGCGCGGTCCCCGCATCTCCCGCCCTGCCACCCACTGCCACTGCCCTCTGCGCAGGAGCCGCGCTGTGTTCGTGGAGCTCACACGCTACAGCCCGGCCGTGGGGCTGCACGCCGCCGTCACACTGCGCCTCGAGTTCCCGGCAGCCGGCCGCGCCCTGGCCGCCCTCAGCGTGCGCCCATTCGCGCTACGCCGCCTCAGCGGGGGCCTCTCGCTGCCTCTGCTCACGTCGGTACGCCAGCCCCTGCCCCTGCCCCTGCCCCTGCCCCGCCCCAGGCAGCGTCCCACCCCCACAGGGCTCCGCCCTCTCCTGACTCCACCCCCCCCACAGGTGTGCCTGCTGCTTTTCGCGCTGCACTTCGCCGTGGCCGAGGCTCGCACTTGGCATAGGGAGGGGTGCAGGCGCGTGTTGCGGCCCGGGGCCTGGGCGCGGTGGCTGCTGGTGGCGCTAACGGCGGCCACGGCCCTGGTGCGCCTCGCCCAACTGGGCGCTGCCGACCGCCAGTGGACCCGCTTTGTGCGCGGCCGCCCGCGCCACTTCACCAGCTTTGACCAGGTGGCGCAGCTGAGCTCCGCAGCCCGTGGCCTGGCGGCCTCGCTGCTCTTCCTACTCCTGGTCAAGGTAAGGGCTGGGCTGGTGGGTGTAGGGTTAGGCGTAGACACCAGGGCTGCCAGCTGACACGTTCCTCACCCGCAGGCTGCCCAGCAGCTACGCTTCGTGCGCCAGTGGTCCGTCTTTGGCAAGACATTATGCCGGGCTCTGCCAGAGCTTTTGGGGGCCACCTTGGGCCTGGTGGTGCTCGTGGTAGCCTACGCCCAGCTGGCCATCCTGGTAGGTGACTGCGCGGCCGGGGAGGGCAGCTTAGCTCAGCCAGCACACCCTCACTGGTGCCCTTTCCTGCAGCTCGTGACCTCTTGCGTGGACTCCCTCCGGAGTGTGGCCCAGGCACTGTTGGTGCTGTGCCCTGGGACCGGGTTGTCCACCCTGTGTCCAGCTGAGTCCTGCCACCTGTTGCCCCTGCTGTGTATGGGACTCTGGGCGCTGCGGCTGTGGGGTGCCCTGCGGCTGGGGGCTGTCATCCTCCGGTGGCGCTACCACGCCCTCCGTGGAGAGCTGTACCGGCCAGCCTGGGAGCCCCAGGATTACGAAATGGTGGAGCTGTTCCTGCGCAGGCTGCGCCTCTGGATGGGCCTCAGCAAGGTCAAGGAGGTGGGTACGGCCCAGTGGGGGGGAGAGGGACACGCCCTGGGCTCTGCCCAGGGTGCAGCCGGACTGACCGAGCCCCTGTGCCGCCCCCAGTTCCGCCACAAAGTTCGCTTTGAAGGGATGGAGCCACTGCCCTCCCGCTCCTCCAGGGGCTCCAAGGTCTCCCCGGATGTGCCCCCACCCAGTGCTGGCTCCGATGCATCGCACCCCTCCACCTCCTCCAGCCAGCTGGATGGGCTGAGCATGGGCCTGGGCCGGCTCGGACTGAGGAGTGAGCCTGAGCCTGAGCCCTCCCGCCTCCAAGCCGTGTTTGAGGCCCTGCTCACCCAGTTTGACCGACTCAACCAGGCCACAGAGGATGTCTATCAGCTGGAGCAGCAACTACACAGCTTGCAAGGCCGCAGGAGCAGCCGGGCCTCCGCTGCTCCTTCCCGTGGCCCATCCCTGGGCCTGCGGCCAGCACTGCCCAGCCGCCTTGTCCGGGCCAGTCGGGGTGTGGACCTGGCCACTGGCCCTCCCAGGGCACCACCGTGGGCCAAGAACAAGGTCCACCCCAGCAGCACTTAGGCCCCTTCCCTGGGGTGGGGCCTGTGGAGTCACAGTGGACACCGCTCAGTATTACCTTCTGCTGCCCTGAACGCCATGGGCCAGGCAGAATGGCTGCACACAGGTTCCTCAGGGAGCAGGCAGGGGTGTCTCTCTGTGGGCTTCAGCACTTTAAAGAGGCCGTGTGGCCAGCCAGGACCCAGGGTCCCCTTGCTGACTCCCTGGGGGAGGACACAGCAGTCTTGGGTAGTTGCCAGCCTTTGAAATGCTAATTTATTTCCCCAAGTCCTCAGGTACAGCGGGCTGTGCCCGGCCCCACCCCCGGGGCAGATGTCGCCCGTGCTAAGGCCGCTGGCTTCAGGGAGGGTTAGCCTGCGCCGCCACCGCCCTGCCCCTAAGTTATTACCTCTCCCGTTCCTGCTGCATTCCCGTGCTGTCTGTCTCTCATGTCAGTAATTTATATGGTGTTAAAATGTATTTTTGTATGTCACTATTTTCACTGGGGCTGACAGGCCTGGCGGCTGAAACTGGGCCCTATGCCCAGAGCTGGCCTCCCACAACACCTACCTTGCTTGGTAGGCGTGGCCTGGCTGCGGAAGCCCAGCTGCTGCATGGATGCAAGCATGGCCTTGGGCTGGTGCTGCGGGTACTATTGTCCCCCTGGCACTTGTCACCACAGAGGCCATGTCATCCTCCCTTGCCCCAGGCCAGGCACTGAGAAAGCAGCACCCAGACCTGCTGGCATCGGGTCTGGGTGAGGAACAGGACTAGGAGTGGTGGTTAGAGGAAAATACCCCTCCTGGGGGCTGGCTCCCAGGGTGGAGAAAGGTGAGCATGTGTGTATGTGAACGTCCTGTGTGGCCCGGGCAGCCCCAGGGCCCTCGGAGCTGGCTGCGCCTGCTTCTGTGTGTGTACCACTTGTGCAGGCATAGCCGCTGCTACAGCCTCGACCCTCACCAAGCAGACAAAGTCAATAAAGAGCTGTCTGACTGCAGTTCGCGCCTGTGTCTGCGTACAGCACCAGGACTTTATTTCACCGACACACAATACCGTCCAGGGCTGGCCTCCGCCTCACACGAACTCGGTGAAGTCCTCCACGGAGGAGATGAGGCGCTTCCGCTGCCCCATCTCATAGCCAGGTGTGGGCTCAGCTGGAGTCTGTGCAGGGGCTTTGGCATGGGCCGGGGGGTGCACCAGAGGCAGGCTGGGGTTGGAGTACGGGGCTTCCTCGCAGATCTGCTAAGGCAGAGGTGGCTTGGGCACCAAGTCCAGGAGGCATAGCACCCGCTCTGCTCAAGCCCCCACCCTATAGCTGGGACAGATGCCCGCCCCTGGCCAGCCAGCACCCCTCCCTGAGGGAGGCCCATCTTCCCTACCCGCTGGCGGAGCCTCTTGATGTGGCGGAGCCGTGCAATCCACTTGGAGGGGTAGATGTCAGTGGGGTTGGAGCGGCTGTGGTGTACCTGTGAGGCCATCTGGGGATGGAGAGTGGCGTGAGCTTGCTCACAGGTGGCACCTGTACCTGTCCCACCAGCTCACACCTGGATGCACCCCACTCACATTCGCATGCAGGGCCATCTGGCGGGCCACGAAGGACAGGTTGCGGTCAGAGACAATCTTGGCCACGCTGGTGTCCACAAGGCCCTCCATGTCTGAGGAGACGCAGTGGTCACGCCAGGCCCAGGGCCCTCAGCACCACCCTGCCCCACCCTGGCCCAGTCCTACCTTTCCTGCACTGCAGCGACACCAGGTTGCACTCGTAGTCCAGCGGGGTGATGATCACATGGACAAAGTTGAACTGGCCCTGCCCAGACAACAGAAGGCATCATCCCCACACACAGCATGTGCCAAGGGTTGCTCTTGGCCACTGCCTGGGCACACTGCTAGACACTCGTCAGCTCCATGGTGGCATTTGCCTCCAAACTTCCCCCTCCCATGGTGGGGCTGTGTTGGTCTGGCCTCTCTGGGACCAAGCCCACTCCACACCCAGGTGTGCTGGAGCTGCAGCCTCTACTCGCTGGGACCCCTAGTGTCTGCAGCCACACATCCAAATCGCTGTCTGCCCAGCCATGAAGTGCCCTGGGGCCATGCAGCCTATCTCAGCACCACCACACCCTCCTCAGCCTCCCGGGTGCCCCTCCTCAATTGTCTCTCCTATGGTCCTGCCCCTCTTGGACTCCACCCGCAGCCCCGGGTTTTGGGTTTTGGTTTGGTGCCTGCCACAGTGTCCTAGGGCCCTCGGAGTGCAGCCTCCAGCCTACCTGCCCTGCCTGGGCCATGCCAGCTCTCCCTGCCATACTGGACAGAGCACCCAGGACGTGCTCTGTGACATCAGCCAACCCAGCCCACCTCCAGGAAGAGGGTGATGCTGGTTGCTGCCCAGTGGTATGTGGCAATAACCAAGTGAGAAGCCTGGCAGCTGCCACAGGGGGAACTGTGGGGACCAAGGGCTGAGAGGGCAGACAGGAATCACCAACTACATGGTACCCGCCTAGGATACCCAGTCTGCACTTGCCAGTTACTCCTGACAAGACCCCAGCAGTAGGAGCCACAGGCTCCATGGCACAGATGAGGAAACTCAGGCTCAGAGGTTGAAGCCCGTGCCCATGGGGCCCTGAGCACTGCAGCCTCTCCCCATTCTCGTGACCGAGACTCAAAGAGGAGGACCTGCCGCTGACCCGGGACACAGCAGTGGGCACTTGCCTGGGGCCCAACCCCCAAAAGCCCCTCACTCACCTTGATAGTACCGAGCTTGAAGTCCTCGCCGGAGTCATTGTAGACAATGGACACGAAGTCATTGCCCAGGTGGCGCTTCTTGTCACAGCGGTGCTTGTCCACATCCTTGGTAGGCATCAGGGTGGCGATGTGGAAGACAGCTGTGGGTGGGCAGGGCCAGGTGGGTTTGTGGGGCCAGTGCTGAGGCCCTCTGCACCTCTCACCAGGAACCTCCTGATTCATCTGGGAGCTCTGGGACCCTGTAGGGGCCACATCCTCTGGTGCCTGGCCAGTAGCCCTCGGCTCTCCATGGGGGCAGAGCTTTGGAAAGCAAAGCTGCCAGCCCCATCACTGCCTCCACACTCATGCTGCTGAGCTCGGCCCCAAAGCGTGGGCAGCTGGATGGGTGGAGCAGGGGTGTCAGGACTATGCCCAGAGGCATGGGGCAACGGGAGCGGGTGGGGCCTAGGACGCACCTTGCATGATGTCGTCGTGCCAGCAATAGGTGAACTGGCCATCCTCACCACACACATCCAGACCTCCCAGGTACACCTTGTCTGGCTGGCAGTCCTTCAGCTCGATGAGCCGGCCCAGGCCCGTCAGGAACTCTGTGTACCTGTAGGAGCCATGCTCGTTGGACAGGATGGCGAGCTCACTGTTGCTCTGTAGGAAGAGAGAAGCGGCAGGGTGGCATCGCCCCTGGGCTGAAGCCCAGCACCTGGCTCCAGGCCCTGCCCCGCTGTGAGGGCCTGTGGAGCTTGTCACTACGGAGGGTGGGAGTGCCCGGTAGGCTCTGCAGGGAGCCCCACTCTGGTCCCTGAAGCAAGCGAAACCACTCCATTCCAGCAGCCACCCAGGCCAGACACCCAGGTGTCATCCTTGCCTCCCTCTTCCCTCAGCCCTGTGCGTGCCTGGCCAGCAAAATCAGGGAGCTCCACCCTCAAAACACACCCAGGACGCCGGCCCCTCAGCAGCCTGCCGCCAGGGGCCTACCCCGTTCACACGGGGACTATCACCGCCCACCTCCACAATCCACAAAGGAAGGACTCATGGAGTCAGCTGAGTCAGGCCATGCCCTCTGCTCAGAACCATCCCAGGCCCTGCCCTTTTCCTCAGGATGAAGGTGCAGCCTGCGGGGCGCCAAGGCTGCCCATGCCAGTCGGCTCCTGTGCTCGCCCAGCACCAGCACTAGAGCTGGGCAGTGGTGCCCCACAGAGCAGGCTGCCCCCACCCCTTAGGCAGCCTCCACCTGCCCGCTCCCTCACCCCACAGCTGTCAGCTCACTGACACCCTGGCGGCCTCCCCAGCCCTGGGACCAATACTGCCTGCCCAGCCCTTCCCACTCCCTGGAATACTGGGTGCTCACACACTGACTGTCACTCTTGCACTCAGAGCAGCGCCTGGCACGCAACTCAACGAGCACTTGATGCTCTAGAGCAGGCGTCCCCAAACTTTTTACACAGGGGGCCAGTTCACTGTCCCTCAGACCATTGGAGGGCCGCCACATACTGTGCTCCTCTCACTGACCACCAATGAAAGAGGTGCCCCTTCCTAAGTGCGGCGGGGGGCCGGATAAATGACCTCAGGGGGCCGCATGCGGCCTGCAGGCTGTAGTTTGGGGACGCCTGCTCTAGAGGACCCAGCAGTGCTGAGCTCCTGATGGCAAGAGAGGACCAGACTCCCACCCCTTGCAGGCTGGGGCGCAGCAGGCCCTGTCCTGGCACCTAGGATGGCCCCGCAGCCTCACCTGGCCTTCACCCACATACAGGACGGCGATCTTGTGGGTGTCGTACGATGGGATCTGATCGAGGAGCTGCACCGACCGCTCAAAGGACTGTGACTGTGGCACACAGAGCCCTGCCTGAGCCCCAGAAGCCCGTCCATGGGAGGGCCACCCCACCTAAGCTGCTCACAGCAGGCTGCTGCAGGGAACTGACGCGAGAGTCCTCTGCAAGCCTGAGCTCCGAGCAGCAGAACGCCCTGCCACATGCCCCTGCTCTCCGCTCCCCGCCCCGTGCCCCCTGCTCCCCACTCCCCACCCTGTGCCCCTGCTCCCCGCTCCCCCGCTCCCCCCAGCCACACAGCCCCAGGAGACTGCAGGAGAGGGAGACCACACTTACCTCATTGGGCAGCAGGATCGGCTTGTTTGACTCATCTCCAAAGAAAGGCGAATGGTAGAGCTGCAGGAACACGAAACTGCACGGGTAGGGGACAGGCACCCGGATGAGGGCCTGGTCAGGGCAGCCACAGCCCACGGGGAGGCCAGAGCCTGGCCATCTCCTGCTCCACTGCCCTCCCTAGGGGCTCCAGCCAGCCCTAGGGCACAAGCCACAAGGACCCGTCCCCAGCCTGCTCGGCCTGGGGTGGCTGAGGCACCAGGCTCCCACAGGCCACAGGACAGGTGTCAGGAGCCCTGCCCAGATGCCAGAGGCCCACCTGGGGTTGATGCCTGGCACTTTCTCTGCATTGGAGGCCGCGGCTCTGCTCTTAAAGGCATCCCTCTCTACCCTCTTGCCCCTGCGTGATGGCGCTGAGTCCGAGATGGTGTATCCTCGGGGCCGGAGGCCACTGGGCGAGCGCGGGGAGCTGGAAGGCAAGGGACCCTCGGGCTGGCCCCGGCTGTCTTCTCCTGGGGCTGACCAGGCAGCACTGTCCCCATCCAGGATCCCTGACTGTGACCGGGCCTTAACCTCAGGGCTCAGACGGCCCACTTCGGCCTTGTCCCCAGGGTCCCCGAGGATATCCTGCAGGGTCTGCAGCTCAGGAGAGGAGCTGGACTTGCTCAGGGGCTGCGAAGGCTGGAAGGAGAGGTCCACAGAGGGCCGGCCACCCTCGGAGGAGACGGCGCGCTCAATGGGGATACCCCGGGCCACCAGCTCCTCTGCGTGGAATGACTTCTCCTCCTGGCTGGAAGTTGAGGACGACTAGAAAGGACCATTCCAAAGAGAGCCCCCATCAGGAGGCACCCCTGAGTCCACACCTGGAGGTGGTGAGGCCCATCCCAGGGCCACAGAATAGCCCAAGCACCAGGCTGTGGTCCCCACCCATGAAAGACAGCACCACCGCCACACTGCACAGGCAGAGGTGTCAGAAACCTGAGACCACAGGCTGCCCAGCAGTGAGGGTCCGGCCCGGACACACGGCTGAGAAGCGCAGACTGTCTGTGCATGAGGGATGTGGAAGAACATCTTGCCCAAGTTCACAGAGCCAGTTCCTCGGGTGCAGGCACACCAAGCAGAGGCCTTGCCTCCCCAACGAGCCTCCCGAGCCGTCCAGGCA